TCTCTACCGTCTTGTTTTTTTTTGTTTTTGTTTTTTTTTTCGATAAAATCATATTTCTTGTGCGTCTGTACCAAATCGGAAATAGATAAAAGAGCAACGTATCTTAATTCTGAAATAAATTGCTTGATTTAAAAGTCCCCGGAAATATGGTGTGTATACGATGGACCACACTTCGTTGTTAGCTCAATCATGAGCCAAGTAGAAGATGAATACGGGATGACGTGATTCATAAAGTTGTTCTTCTCTTTCTTTTTGCCTGGCGAGTATTTTAATCAAAATATACTGATCTGCCGAGAGGAAAATCCTTTTCTGTGCCGGCTTTTTTCAAACGTTCGGCACTGTCGCAATAAATAAGCATTTTGTAGTCTTTATGCAATCCCGTTTACTACCCAATAAACAGTTCAAAGTCTATTAACCAACGGGACTCAGTATCGCGTAATCTTTCTTATGTGGACAGTCTGATATAGTATAGTCTCTAAGCTGTGCCGTATCTCTGTATCATATGAACCTCATGTATCACATTTTTCTTAACGCATTGTTCTCAGTCTTTTTATTATACTTCAGCGGAGAAGAAGTCACTGGGAACAGAACTGTCAGCTGTAAAGACGCTATTAGATAACGTAAAGGTCACAACTTGCACCGTTTTAAATCAAACCGTTTTAAGATTAACCCCAGGAAGCAGGCGGTCGGTTCTTATTGATACGCTGCGTGGGGACGTCTTTATTTTTCAGCTGGGTCCCCCATACAAGCTATGCAGTGAGAACTTTTATGTCTACAATCCACGTCAGACTTTTGCAGAGAAAATATTTTTCATGTTTTAGCAATTGCGTTCCCTTAATATATGCAACTCCAACTCAATAGCGTTGGTCATATCAATCCGAGTGACCACTGGTGTACCCTCTACCAGGGCCACAGATTGATTTTTCACAGGATATTCACAGATAATGTCTTCTAACTGTGACTGGCGGAAAATGTGCCTACAATATCTGCCGCCCTGGTAGAGGGCACCACTGGTCCATTGTTCAAAGAGCCAGATTGAAAACCATTTTCGCCGAGCCCGGGGTCAGCTTTAGCCCGGATGTGACCAGTGACTGGCCGCCACCTCAAAGGACAGAGGGAACTTCACCGACTGACCCTTCCGCCGTTGACCCTTCCGTCAATTTGCAATCAACGGGCACGATGCGGGTATCAACATCACAGCGTGGTCTCCACGTCCATTTGGTCAGCGCTGGACACGCTCAGGTCCTCTAGGGAGTCGTTGGCACCTGAGTCTAGGAAGGCGTCGCACTGTGTCGAACCATTTGAAGCGACTTTTTGAGGAGAGTCTTGGTGCTCTTCGTCTATAGTCCCCATGCCAGCTGAGGTCTGGGCTATGAGGACAGCGAGGCCCACTGAAAAGATTGAGATATGGAAAATTAAAATAGTTAAAGGACCATTGAGAGAGAGAGAGAGAGAGAGAGAGAGAGAGGGAGCGTGATATTAAGAATGTATTGAAAAAATGTGTAAGTGTGTGAGAGAGAGAGAAATATTCTTTCAGATTTTCCAACATCGAAAATTAGAATTTCGAAAATAATTAAATGTGTCGTTTTACTCGTGTAATAGTCCAAGAAATTGGTGCAGAAAAAAGGGTGAATTGTGCGTTTTTTACCTACAAGCATGAAATTTGCCACAGTTGTAGATAATGGAATTCTAAGCTTTTTTGGATATATGGGCATGTCTGAAAATTCCAGTATGGCCGCCAAATCCAATATGGCCGCCACAAATACTCTTTTAAATTAAAACATCTAATATATAGTCCTAAAATGGTTTAAAATATCATTTTATAGCTGGAAAATATCATGCTATGAATGAATTATCAATATCCGCTTCTACAGGTGTATAGAATTCCAAAAAGGCCTCCAAAAGTAAAATAAGCAGTTTAATTACGCAAAATATGCAGCAGTTTTGTAAAATCATCAAGCACTTACAATTACAAGCATAAAAATTGGCACAGTTATGTAGAACATGATTCTAAGCAACGTTGGATATAGGGGCATGTCTGAAAATTCCAATATGGCAGCCAATTTCAATATTCCCCCCAATATACCCTTTCAAGGTGAAAGTTGTTTGTATAGTCTTTTATAAGAATATCATTTAATGGTAAGAAAATACCATTGTATGTATGAAGTATCAGTATCTGCCACTTAAGGTTTTAAAATTTCAAAATGGCCTCCAAAAGTCAGCAGACCACAACTATTGAATTGTAATCACTCGTGAATAGGCATGTGGGCTTTGCAAACTACCTGTATAATCAGCATATTCCTACCTGTGCAGGAGCTATTCTACAGAGTTTAAAAAAAAACATCAACCATGATACATTTATTATGTACTGAAAACAGTCCTTCTTTTGATAAACCAACATAAGTAGTTTGACTTTTTGCTCTGGATTCTCATTTAGATCAATTCCCAATCTTCTTATACGGCACTCATGAGTGACTCCCCCTTTCTAAGAAAAAAGTATCGTGCAAAATCCATAAAATATGAAAGAAACACCAGAATAACTAAGCCTTAAAGAGGCAAATATAAAAAACTTCGGGTGTACCAATTTTGTCTGTTGGTTATGATTCTTCAGCTAGATCAGTGCATGGCGCCTCATCAAATGCTCATAAATATAACAAAAATGACAGCTAATCAAACATACGGGTCTCACAATTTGGTGTTTTTCATTAGTAAAGTACTAAAAAGCGGGGCACAGTTGCACTCGACAATGTTATGATGTTATCTTGTGCTTCAAAAGTAAATGAGAAAACTTTCTTATTTAAAAAATTGGCTTTAGTACATTCGCAGTAATGGCTACCGAGAATTTAGTGGAAATTTATGAGCAAAGAAATACCTGTACCCCGTACCCCAAACAGAGGGCAGGTGTTGATACGTGCTGTATCCAAGAGTTGCATTGCAGGCTTCACACTTCGTGCACTAAAAAAGAAGCACTGATAGGTGCCAAACTTTGGTTTTCATTTGATCATTTGGCAACTTGTTTAGTTACAAAGTTATACTTTCAAAAAACTGAACATGAAAATAAAAGAATTAAAATCCTCCAGACAGTTAATACATACAAAACTTCAAAAAACGGTGTATTCTGAGGATTACACCAAGAAATTAGTGCAATATGGACTTTGAAAGGTAAAAATTCATGAGATTTCTGGCATCATTGTCTCTGTGGGACAATCCAGAATGAAGCCATGAGGAGTGTTCACTTACCCAGCTAACAAAATCTACCAGGTAGCTCCTACCACATCTGTTTGTAGTTATGTGTGCAGTTGCTAACTGTGATGAGGGGAGTCAGAAGCATTGGAAGACTGGTCCTATAAGGGTTCACACTAGTAACCTTCATCTACTAATATGCCCTACCCCACTTTCATATTCCTATTGACCCTCATGCATGTAAACTGATGCTTTCTGGTGTTAAAAACGACCAATGCCACTTGGTATTTTGTTGGGGAAAGTGGATTACATGTAGGAGCTATAGCTTTAAGGAAATACTGGGAAAGCTGAGGGAAACACAACTACTAGTAAAGCTAGGCACACATTAATGAATGAAAATTATTTAACCAAATAAGTAGAAATTTCGGTGTAGCTAGCTGTTATCCTCTGTTGAGATATTGTCCATTTACTAAAGTAAAAGGTTGACCGCCCATTAAATGTGCAACACTTACTTGATAAAATAACATTCGTTAATTTGAAACTTATTTGTGAAAATACCTTGACATTTTCATATCCTTGACATTTATAGAATTGCTGCATGTGGTGTCACAACTAGACCAAAAGGAGTCCTAGTCCATTTTTTATGGTCATTTGTGTCTAAATGTAACTAAAGGAGCGAAAAACCAAAAAAGAGTAAAGACTGTTGTCAGTCAGATTATATAGTAGTCTTTTTTTACTTTAAAAGGGTTTTAGTGGCCATATTAGAATATTCAGACATGTCCCTATATAACAAATTGCTTAGATTCCTGTTCTGTACAGTTGAGCCAATTTTCATGCTTGTAGTTTTAAGTGCATGATGAATTCACCATACTGCTGCTGTGAGTGGCCTGTTTTTCTTATTTTTGGAGGCCATTTTGGATTTCTGTACATTTAAAGAATAAAATATTGATACTTCATGCATACCATAGTCTTTTCTAACCATAAAATGTTATCTTAAGTTATTATAGGATTATATATACTTGAAGTTTTAATTTGAACGGGTATTTGTGTCGGCTATATTGGATTTGGGGGCCATATATTTAAATTTTTAGACATGCTCATACATCCAAAAGTGCTTGGAATCCTGTTTTACAACTGTACCAAACGCCATGCTTGTAGTTTTTGATGAATTAACCACTCTGCTGGATATCTTGGATTAGTAGAGTGCTTTTTACTATTGGCGGCCATTTTGGATTTAATACACCTAAAAAAGCACAATTTGATTCAGAATTCATACCGTGGTGTTTTTTAACCTTTGTATGATATTTACGCCCTTAAAAGACTATATACTTGAAGTTTTAATTAGAAGCCGTGTTTTTGGAGGCCATCTTGGATTTGAAGGCCATTTTTAAATTTTCGGATATGCCCATACATCCAAACTTGCTCAGAATTTCATTTTCCACAAACCTGCCAAATTTTATGCTTGTAGTTTTAAGTGCTTGATGAATTCCCCATTCAAATGGATATCTTGAATAAATGGTCTGCTTTTTTTACTTTTGGCGGCCATTTTGGATTTAATACACCTGAAGGATTCATACCATGGTGTTTTCTAACCTTTATATGATATTTTAAGTCATTAGAAGACTATGTACTTGAAGTTTTAATTTGAAAAGGTATTTTGGTGGCCATATTGGATTTGACGGCCATTTTGGAATTTTCAGACATGCCCATATATCCAAATTTGCTTAGAATTTCATTGTCCATAAGTGTGCCAAATTTCATGCTTGTAGGTAAAAAATGCACAATTTTTCACCAATTTCCTGGACTACTAAATCAGATGGCAATTTCAAGCATTTTTCAAGCCTGTTTGAAATCTGCAGAAGTTTGTAAAACAAAACTTACATATTAATCTTACAATACAAGTAATATATAGTAATGATGACAACCTATCTTTTTACATTAAAGCAAGTAAACAGCGCTAAAACAGCAATAATATTTAATGACTGTTCCCTAAAAAATAACACATCAAATTATTCGAGCAAAATGTCAGGGAATCGAGCTTGTTAAAGAAGCCTTTCATGCAGTAAAAATCAATTCAAATGGCTTTATATGGAATTTCACATAGGCAACCCAGTTCAATGACAATTTATGTATTAAAAGTGTTACAATGTGGTCATTTTTTATTTGAAAACTTGATCACAGAATTTCATAAATTGGATCAGTAAGTGAATTCCTGGCTCGCGTTTGAAGTCTGTGTAGTTTGACCAGCAATAGTAACATAGATTTGGTTTTAGGTCCAAGATCAATATTGTCTCTTAACTCAGATTCGGAGATCTGTCCCTTATGACCAGCTGAAAATGGAAGTAAATAAAATGTTTATCACATATATTTCAGCGGAGTGCACATCATCAGTGCAATAACAATAATTACCAAATCCATTTTCTGTAATAATTTGCTCATAAATAAGTTCTCTTATATCCAATCAACCTAGAATATACTTTGTGAATGAAGTTATTCACTTACCACTCATCTTTTTCTGACAGATATCATTTATTTTCTGCAAAGTGTTGTTTATAAGTTTTAGGGGCAACTGCCTCTGAAGGTAGTCTTGGAGAGAGGCATATTCATCTTCAGAAATCATGGCCATACTGAAATGAGAGATGATTTTATAAAATTACAAAAAATTATTTGAAATCTGGCTGAAAAGATGTGAAAATGTCAGAAACCATGCACAAAATCGAATTCAGAATTGCTTGTGCACTGTTGTTTTTAAAGCCCAAATCCTTGATATTAGATTAGATACCACTTGCAACATTTTATTCTCAACACAGCCTTGGTTTGAAGGATATTGGAAATCCATCCTGTTTTCACAGAAGACTTACCCTGGGCATGTCTTGTTACTGTTCTCCCTTGGTGGAATATTCTCCTGCAATTCCTCAGTGCTGTTAAAGGTGTACTTCATTGATAACACTGGTGGTTGGGGCATGTCCCAGTCCTGTTGAAAACCATTTTTATCAGTCTCTGTGGCTTTTATTTGAACTAAAGCAGTGTCCCTTGTTGAGATCTGGTCATATCCCTTATCTGCGACTGGAGCACTGAGCTTTTGTACATCCTGTGCAGTCAGAGGGTTAAGAGGCCTGGTGAAGTCCTCGTAGAATTGCTGGTATTCCTACACAAGAAAAATTTTCTAAACATAAACATCTGAAAATATTATAGTAGAACAGTGCTAAGATGCTAACATGAAGTTTCTGGTTCTAAATAAAACAGTTCCGTAAATGTAACAGGCAACTTTAACTTACAAATAAGCATTATTACTATTAATATTGTTATTATTAAAAATGGAAAGAATTTTCTTCCCAGGAAAAATGCTAAAGTAAAAGAATGGTTATTGGATATGAACAAGTGAATTGCATATTGAATATTGAGTGTTAAATCATCAGTTTTTCAGTTTGTTAAAATTTTTGAGATCTATGCTATATTTCCTATATATGTAGTCATCTCTCTGAATAAATGATGTACACTCACAAAAAAATAATCAACAATTTTTTTCCTTATTGTGGGCCCCAGAAGATGCAAAATTTCATAATCTAACAGATGTTAAATCAGTTCAGAGAAAAAACAGGTAAAGTAACACATCCTTTCCGGTGTAGATGAAAAGGAGGAAAATATTAATATGTGCAAATAACACCCTTGGTTTTTCAAAAGAAATTTCCTACTTGAAAATGCAATTAAGACAGCGGAAAGCCATAAAGACACTGACCTAGAATAGAGAGATAATCACTTCCTTTGAGGAAAAGCAAAGATGAAAATTCATTTTTCAAAGGTGGTTCCATGAAATAAAGAAAGTGATGAAAATTTCTCCTCTCAGAATAAGTCAGCTCTGATAAAAGACTTACTTCAAACTTCATGGTAAGTTCTGGGGCTTCTGGTTCTGGGAGGTCTTCAGGATTCAAGCTTTGTAATTCTGGGGCACTTGGCACCTGAAACATTAATGAGTCAATGTAGTTTTTACTATATTCTGTCAAGGAAAAGTGTCTTTGTCTGGTACTCTTGAAATAAAATACTACACCAGTGCCTTTCTTATGAACAATATATCAACAAAGAACATTTTAAGAGATTGTCATGGCTACTTGTCATGGTTTATTGAATTAAATATATTTTACTAAATGCAGCTTGGCACATTCCCAGGTCTTTCTTCTCTCAGTCCTTTCCTTCCAACCAATATTTTGGAGTGAATTGGGATGCAAATGCTGATTTTCTTACACTTTCTTTGGAGATAA